TTTATATGTCATGTCACTTGGTTATGCTCATTTTCTTTAATTCCATGTTTTACTCCGATGCAAATGAGCTTTATTACTTGTACTCATGCTTATTTCATATCTATTGAGTACATCATGTTAGCTTGGGTCATATAAGCTTGCCTAACTCTTTTGTTCTTATTGACAAAAGCTTATATGAACCAAGCATGTTAAAAACCTCATCTCTTTCACATACTCGAGGTGGTATTGTCATCAATCACCAAAAAGGGGAGATTAAAAGCGTCTAGGCCCCTAGTTGGGTTTCGGTGATTAATGACAATACGAGATTACTATGACTAACGTGTGTTTTGCAGATGTAATTAAGTTAGGTCATGGTAATGACAATTGATTGGGCAATCATGGTTGTCATGCCCCTACAATGGAAATCGTTTTGGTTTTCAAAGGATGGACGACATGGTTAAGATGGACTAGTTCTAAGTGTCGTTTGGTGTTGAAGAGACACTTAGAGTAGTTTAGGACTTTGTTTTTCTTTTGGCCGTACTATTAAGGGGGTATGGATGGGTAGCTTGACCTAGGTGAGTCTAGTGGGTTAGGTGTGGTGCACACTTGTCAAACTAGCTCTAGGTAGCTCCAAAATAGCCCTAAGATCAATTGAAGCAAACTTCATTCACATATGATTGCGAGTTGGAAGTGAATGGAGGGTCAAATGTTGACTGGACGCTGGTTCCGGTGTGACCGGACGCTGGTGCAAAGTCCGATCAGTTCATTTGATCAAGGTGAAGTCGTCTGGATGCGATCGGATGCTGAGTGAAAAGTGACCGGACGCTGGGTGCCAGAGTCCGGTCAACATCAGTAAGGCTCCAGACGGTAGTTTTGGTGACCGAACGCGTTCGGTCAGTGCTGACCGGACGCTGGACTGAGTCCGGTCACAACTTAACTGCTCAATGGTAGGGAGAACTGACTGGAGCATCCGATCAACTTAACCGGAGCGTCTGGTCACCCCACAAGTGGCACATAACGGTTCGTTTTGAATGAGGGGTTATAAATACTTCCTCTATTCACTCAAGGGATTACTTTTGTCATTCCAATAGATGAGAAACACCCTTGAGAGTGCCAAGAAGAGCAAGGTCCTAGTGAGGTGATTGAGATTTGAGAATCCAAGAGAGAGGCGTCATTAGTGAAAGCAAGAGTAGCAAAGTGTGCATCCACCCTTTCATTAGGCTTATCGTGGTCAAGTGAGAGTTCGTGCTTGTTACTCTTGGTGATCGCCATCACCTTGATAGCTTGGTGGTGATTGGGAGCATGGTGATCATCTAGTGGAGCTTGTGGATGACCCAACTCAAGTTGTGAGCGGTTGTGGGTGATTCATCGCGATGGAGTGTCGAAGAATCAACCCGTAGAGAGCACTTCATCCTTGTGCGGATCAAGGGGGAGCTACACCCTTGCGCGGGTGCTCCAACGAGGACTGGTGGGGAGTGGCGACTCTCCGATACCTCGGCAAAACATCACCACGTTCCTCATTCTCTCTTTACTTTGAGCATTTACTTTGAGCAGTTCAATTCTTGTCTTTACATTCATAGAATTGCCATGCTAGAGTAGAATTAGAACATAGGTTGCTAAACTTTTGTGTGGTAGAACAATAGAAACACTTTCTAGGCACAAGGGGTGAAGTGGGCTAACCGTAGGGTTTAATTATTGCAAAGAATTTTAGAATTAGCCCAATTCACCCCCCCCCTCTTGGGCATCTTGATCCTTTCAAGCATCTTGGTGGTTCTTCTCACCATGAGGGCAAGGCTTGCATCATCAATCTCATCATCACTTGAGCTATCATGATCAACTTTTGCTTTGCCCCTCTTCTCTTGGCTAGCCTTGAATGCCAAATCTTTCTTCTTGGTGGAAGAAAAGACATCTTGTGGAGTGATGTGCATGTACATCTCATGTACATTGATCTTCCCCAATATTTGAGTTGGTGTAGCGGTGGAAAGATTACCTTGATGAAGCACCGTTATAATATGCCCATACTTGTCAATGGGGAGGACACTCAAGTTCTTTCTCACAACATCGGATGGTTGTATTTGAGTGAGTCCAAGGCCATTGATCTCCTCTACAAGAACATTCAAGCATGAATACATTTCATTAGCACTTTCACTAGAAAGCATTTCAAATGAATTAAGCTTCTTCATTACAAGGTGATAGCATTCCTCACGCTCACTCTTGGTTTCCCTCATGGAGCGCACAAATGTCCGACTATAGTGAATGGATGTCTTTGTGGTTCCACACATGGTTAAATACATCCTTGCAAAGGCCTCTAAAAAGATTGTTTCTAGCCTTTGCATTCCACTTCTCATAGTGAACCTCATCTCCTTGAAGGTTAGCAGGATCCCTAAGTGTTGGGAAACCTTGTGAGGTGGCTCTAAGCACTCCAACATCTAAAGCCTCTAGGTACGCCTCCATGCAAATTTTCTAATAAGGAAAATCCTCTCCCTTAAAGACAGGAGGGGGTCCATCCCCGTGGGACATCTTGCTCAAGGCGGTTAAGCCTAATTTAAGGAGCACGAGGCTCCGATACCAATTGAAAGGATCAAGATGCCCAAGAGGGAGGTGAATTGGGCAAATTCTAAATTTCTTTCAATAACTAAGCCCTACACTTAGCCCATTTCACCCACTTTGTGCTTAGAAGTGTTTCTATTGTTCTACTACACAAAAGTTTTGCACCCTAGGTTTCAATCTTACTCTAGCATGGCAATTCTAAGAATGTAAAGACATGATTGAATTGCTCAAATGTAAATGCTCAAAGTAAAGAGAAAGAAAGGAACGCGGCAATGTTTTTCCAAGGTATCAGAGAGTCACCACTCCCCACTAGTCCTCGTTGGAGCACCCACGTATGGGTGTAGCTCCGCCTTGATCCGCGCAAGGATCAAGTGCTTTCTACAGGCTGATTCTTTGATACTCCGCCGCGGTGAATCGCCCACAACCGCTCACACCATGACTTTGGTCATCCACAAGCTCCACCGGATGATCACCAAGTTTCCTATCACCACCAAGCCATCTAGGTGATGGCGATCACCAAGAGTAACAAGCATAAACTCTCACTTGATCAAAACAAGCCTAATGAGAAAGGTGGATGCACACTTGCTACTCCCTATGCACTAATGAGGTCCTTAATCTTGGATTATCAAATCTCAATCACCCCACTAGGTTCTTTCTCTCCCTTGCACTCCAAAGGTGTTTCTCAGCTAAACAAATGGGCAAGAGAGCTGAGTTGGACGAGTAGGAGAAGTATATATACTCCCCACTTTAAAACATAACCGTTATTGTCCAACTCAGTAGTTTTTGGGGTGACCGGACGCACCGGTCGAAGTGACCGAACGCGTCCGGTCAATAGCCAACAGCTACGTGGCATTAGCATGTCAGAGAAGGCTGCAGGAGTGACCTGACGCTGGCCAGCGTCTAGTCAACATCCACCGGAGGCGTCGGGTCAGGAATTTTGGTCTCTGGACCCTCTCTAATGTTGACCTAACGCTGCAAACTGAGCGTCGATCGTTTACTGTTCAGTGTCTGGTCCTCCATGATAGCAAGGCCCTACTGCTACATATACGACTAGAGGTGCGTCCGGTTCCAATCACTGTGCAGCTCAGGTCGCTCCTTGGCTTATGTTGTGCGCGTTGATCACTGACTGGACGCAACACCTGTGAGTCCGATCATCACTAAAACAGCGTCCGGTCAATATTTGACCCTCGATTCACTTCCAATTCAGAATCCTTTGTGAATGAGGCTGACTCCAATTGATCTTTGGGCTATTCCTGAGCTACCTAGTGCTAAGTTTGACAAGTGTGCACCACACCTAACTCATTAGACTAACCTAGGTCAAGCTACTAGTTCATACCCCCTTAATAGTATGGCCAAAAGAAAAAAAGTCCTAAACTACTCTAAGTATCTCTCCAAAGCCAAACGACACTTAGAACTAGTCCGTCCTTAACATTGTCGTCCATCCTTTGAAAACCGAAACGATTTCCATTGATAGGGGCATCACAACCATAATTGCCCAAACAATCATCATTACCATGACCTAACTCAAGTTGCCTCTACAAAACACACGTTAGTCACAGTAATCTTATGTCGTCATTAATCACCGAAACCCAACTAGGGGCCTAGATGCTTTCATCTAACTCCCACAGCAAGACCCCACAGACATTGCCAAATGGTGGGAGGAAGCAGCAAACAAGGTGCCAAAGCAGGATCGAAGGCGGTTCAATGGAATCCTCATTTACATTGTATGAAACTTGTGGAAGGAGAGGAATAGGAGGATCTTCAAAACAAGCACAAAACGGTCCAGCAGGTGGCCTCATTAACAAAAGAGGATATCATGCAAGGACACAGGGTTGTATCTTTTGATGGGTAAACCACCATTAGCAGTGAAACATGCCTATCCTGTTCCGGTGCTAGGACCATAGTGTTTGGCTCCAGTGGGTGCCTTCTGTACATAAACTTCTTTTTTATTACTTAATTGAGCAACAGGGCTCCTACCTTTTATTTCAAAAAAAACCACATGTGCCTCACTGTACGGGGACGATGCCTATAACTGAAAGCATAGCGTCGTTAAATCCCGAATAATTCCAAGAAAATACGAGCAATCGTGCCAAGTCGAGGAGTTAACGGGTGGTCAGGTTCCACCACAAGAAACCCAACCAATTGACCTACGATCAGCTCTAGCCTAGTCAGAAATTTGGACGTACAGGGGGTAATAGTTTGTTTTCGGAAAAATTGTGGCCCTACATTATACCAAGCTACATAGCACTACATATCTGTAAAACCTGTACCAGCACAAAGTCAAGGGTATGCTACTCTGATTAAGGAGATGTATTCCCTATTGCTCGATAACAAAGAACAATTGTCATTCTATGCAACAACTACAAGGTTCCAGCACTTTATATTGAAATAAAGTTTGAAAATACACTGTATATAAGTATATTGGACATTGTCATCATCATCCTCATCATCGTTACAACCAGCAGCATTGGCTAATTCTTCCTGGATTTCAGTTCTCCAATCCTTTCCTCTGTGGCCTTCAGGGCATCACCAAATTTGCTTATGATCTAAGAGGTCAGTCAGACTTCTGTTAGTTTCATGTTGGTTTTTTATTATATCGGTAAGGCAAAAGTGACTGGACAATGTAAAATGGTCTTACTTCTTCAACTTCATTGGGAGTCATGATCAGTGGGGGTGACAGCATGATGCTGTCGCCAGCCACCCTGATGAGCATCCCATGTTTCTCACACTCAGCACCAAAGATCGAACCAACACCTGGAGTTACCAATCATAATAAAATCAATATACTATCACCATCAAATAACTCAGCAAGGTTTCTTTTTAACTCTGGGATAGTGACAAATTTTGCCTTGATATGCTACACTAATTCATGAACATTAAGTAAGTCTTCAGAGAACATTTTGGGCAGCCTTAAAGTTGGATTATTTCTAAATTGTTTGAAAATGGGACACAAAATCAGTAAAGTAACAAACCCCATTCAGCTGGGAATGGATCATTTGGAGATTTGTTGTCAACAAACTCAGTTCCAAGTATAAGTCCCAGACCACGTATCTGTATGGAGGAGCACCCAATGTATCAGTATAAATAAGAAAGGATCCTCTGAAATATGTAAAAATAAGAATTTACTCATTTAGGCCTTGTTTAGATGCACAAGTATCCATTTAAATCCACATGTGTTGAAGTGCATTAGAGTGAAAATTAAACTAAGTTACATTCTAATCCACTCCAACACATGTGGATTGAAGTGGATACACATGCATCCAAACAAGGCCTTAAATGTGTACCTCTCCAACAATTGGGCTTCCTAAGAAGGTCTTGATTAGCGATTTTGTTAGCATGTTCTATAATATTCCTTTCCCTAACAGACATTATGTGAAGGATTAATTATAGCACCTAGTTTTAAGAACAAAACTAGATATACACCATATGTGAGTCCAAGAAGTCAAATCTCACATATAACTACAAATAAGGGTAATATCGAAAGACAATGCTCAATATATAACGTACTTAGTATAAAGGATATATAACCTTAGACAACAAACAGCGAAAAGACAACTCCGATCTTTGGGTGAAGACTCCAATTCCACAGGGACAACTGATTGGTTGATCACAAGCCTAATTCCTCCAAACTCTAACAATCTGGTACCCATCCGGGATTTTTGCAAAGATTTAAAAAGTAAAACAAGCGTAAGTACATGTCGTACTCAACAAATATAACATGGGGTTCATGAGGCTCAAAAGATTGACACTGGTTCACTGCGGTCAGCTTCTAGTGAGTCACAATTTTAGCAATTGAGTAGCAACAAATTTATCCACAAGCCTATGTAAACACATGATCAGGTAAACATGAATAATGAATAGCATAAACAGTATTCATTAGTGAGCATCTTCATCATCAGTATCATGAGTGTTCATCATCTATTCCGTAAGGGTTCCAAGGCCGCTCGTGACCATGAGCACGGCTGATATACCAGTTTTACACTCTACAGAGGTTGTACACTTTCACTGTGAGTCGTGATTTACCCTTTCGCCCGAGGTCGCGAGCCTCTTAACCCACTACCAAGGAAGATCGGCAGGGTTCACTATGAAGCCTTTCAAAGGTTCGTCTAACAAGTTAGGGCCATTAGATTCACTCGGCAAATAGATATAGGAACCTCCTGTCGAATGGCACAATTCCATCACGGCTATACACATAAGAGTAGAGGCTTTCCTATACCTGATTCGTCAAGCCATTCTTACGCCATAAAGGTAACCACTAACAAGCTAGAAAAGGTCCCCATACTTGACTAAAGCCAGAGCCATGTAGCCCTCACAGCTGTACTGTAAGTCCTGAATACTTACAAATAAGTCCTTAGGGAAAGGAATCTAGAGCGCCATAATAACAGCCCAATGCTCTAGCCCTCTTGAGCCATGTTGCTAAAAACATATTTTAGTGTTTATTGCATATACCATTAGTCAAGTTACAAGATCATGGTCTTTAATTGAGCGCTAGCATCATACTACCCAATGCAATATCCCATAGGTATCAAGGTACAAGGTAACAAAGTACTAAGAAATCCTTAGTGGTAGTCAAGGTAGACACATGCAGCATGAATAAATCATTAAAGTGAATAGGACAAGAAAGATCTCATGCTATACTTGCCTTAAAACTCTGATCTTCTTCTAGTCCAAACCTTCAAAGGATTGCTTCTAGATTCACCACGTATAGCTCACCGACTGGACATGATCATAAAGCACCAAACAAGCATCCATGCAATTATACACAAAGCAAACAATAGAACTAAATTAGAACAGTACACCAAACATATGAAACAAGTAAAAAGGTTTTAAAGATGTTCTACACGTTGCTACGAACACACAGACGTGAAAAGCACTCTAATCGGAGCTATAACAAAAAAATTATAAATTAAACAAGATTTCCTTTAATAAAATAATATATTAAATCTAACCTCGAATTTCAAAAGTTGAAAACATGTTTAACAGTAGGATGAACATGTAAATTACGCAATTATGAATCTAACGCAACTTGAACGGGTCAAATCAGAGTTAAAACATAGAAGTTATGGCTAAAACAAGATCAGTGACACTTCTATAAATAGTTGGAACTTGATTTTAGAATTTAAATTAATAAAATCAGATTTTAAACTAAGTCAGGAGACGGCGGGCATGATAAAGAAGAAGTACAGGGGTTCTTTAGAAAAAGTGCTGAGACGGTGGGTTCTATACTAGAAAAGGGCAGGGGCTCTTTAGCAAAATGACCGGCCGAACCGGTATGGTGCGATCTCGGCCGTCAGATCAAGTTCTAACGGCGCAGATTAGATCAGGCGGGGATGGCGTGGCCGGCCGGCCGAAACAGGACCTAGCACGGTGGCGGCGCCATGGCCAAAACGAGTGAGCTCGTTGGCGTAGTTGAATCTAGGCCTACGGGCTATGGCGGGACGAACCAAAGGCACCGAAAGATAGAGAAGGAAACGGCGATGTCGGCTAGGTGGCTTACCGAAGCGTGGAGCGACGGAGGGCGGCGCGGTGGTCGGCGAGGCGGGCGGCTTGTCGGTGGTTAGGGTTTAGCTATGCTGCATCTCGGTGATTCGGCGAGGGCTGCTGCTAACTCGAAGACAAAATAGAGAGGCGGTGGGGTCGGCTGCTATTTATGGCGGGGAATTACTTGGGAGACACGGCAAAAGGAGGCGTAGGTGGAGCAGACTTCCATGGCACGGCGGAGTCCCGGTCGACTACGCGCGGGAGGAAGACAATGCGAGGTTGGAGAAGCGGTTGACGGCTGGGGCCCACTAGCCGGCGACCGAAAGAGCGGAAGAGAGGGGCGTGGCGCTGCTGGGCCTCGGTTGCTGCGGTTGGGCCGCCTGCGGGAGAGAGGAGGAGATGGGCCGCGCGAGAGCGGGAAGGAAACAGGTCGGACCTGTTGCGGGAGAGAGAGAAGAAGAGTTTTTCTTTTTCTTTTCTAAATTTCCAAAGCAAATTTTCAAATGAGTTTTGAATTCTCTTTTGAGTTTTGAATGAAACCACTCAATACAAAATAATATGCAGCAACATGTATGCACAAACATGTAGCTATACCTTATATTTGATTTTAAATTTTTAAATAAGTTATCATTTTTCTAAATTTAAATGCTCACAAAATGCATAATTAAATCAAATTCACCTATTTCAAAATAATGAAATTTCTAGGGTGTTACATTAATCAGACACATATGTCGACATAAAAGGAGTATTTTCCATCACTAGATAGAGTTATTTACTTATATATCTTCAAGATTTCTACAGCAACAGCACAAGAAACTGGATGTCCCGAGTATGTAAAGCCATGAGCAAAAGAACCTTTAATAAAGAAATATGCCTCTTGTCAATATAGTAGCAATAGAAAAATGAGTTTACATGATGGGATTAGATTTACCAAGTTTATTGCTCTGCGAATAGATTACATCCGTTATTTCTGGGCTAACAAGAATTGCTCCAATTGGCATATATGCAGAAGAAAGAGCCTATTAGGGGAAAAGTGCATTAAGTTCTCCATTAATTTATAAAAAAAGTACCCTTGTAAATAATAAGTACTCTATATTGAACTAACCTTAGCTATGGAGACAAGATCTGGTTTAATGTTATACATATCACATCCAAACATTGTCCCTAGTCTTCCAAATGGAGTAATGACCTAAAACAAGATGTTGACTTAGTAAATTCTCAACCTAGCAATATCCTGACTTTTCCATTTTTCTGGAGACATATATTACCTCATCCGCAATTAACAAGATGTCATACTTCTTCAGAACTGCTTGAATCTGTTTAGAGGAACAGAATTTCGTAAGATCAAAAGAGGCAGCAATGCAGCATGGCAGCAAAAACATTTGACTTGAAACAACCTAAGCTATACAAATTGCACTGAGAAACACCTTTCTTTTTGTAAAAGTATAACAATTCAAAGAAGCTGGCAATGCAAGGAATATGTTGTTACAACATAACAATCAGAAACACCTTCTTTCAATAGTGAGATAAATGACAGAAAAACTGGAGGAACATGCAGTGATAATTGGATCCTCGATGCAAGCCTTGATTCAGACATCCAGAGTGAAGAATGATACAAAGTGTTGGTGTAATTAGAACATCTGTAAAGGGACTTTGTGCAACTGGTGGAATAAAAGGAGAGAGTGTGAGTGAGGCACACAGTAATAAGTTCCCCAAATCGACACAAAGAATTACTTTTACGTTCCAGTTAATGGAAAGAATGTAGTGCGTTTATGATTTCCTTCTTAAACTAAGTCTTAGCGCTTGGTTGAATAAACCCATTCCATCCCAAATCCCAATACAGGTTCCTTCGGAATTCCCCCAAACCTCCTCTTTAGTCCCCTCCAGACCTAAAGAGCCCTACATGTGGATTCGAGAGGGAATGGCAAATGGGTTTATTCAAACAAGCACTCAATGGGATGAAAGATCTGGTTCCAAATTCCATGTAGGATTGGGAGCTAAATCCAATTAAAGTCAATGTTTGTGATGTTGAAAAGATGATCACAGAATTGCAGTAACCCTTGCTATGTTTTCTTAGGAGTCATGATTCATGAAAAAAAAATTGTGTCACATACTGTTGTAGATCACCTTCTCAAAATAGGTCTTTGGAGGAAGGATAACACCACCAGCACCCATTACAGGTTCAGCAATGAAAGCAGCAATCTGAAAAGGGCAAAGACAAGAGGCATTTTTTGAAACATATGTAAAAGTATAAGAACGGTTCTTCCATTATCAAAAAATATATAAATAGTATTTTACTGTTTCAGGTCCTTCTTTGAGGATAAGATTCTCCAAATTGTTGGCAAGTCTAGTTGAAAACTCTTCTTCTGTCTCATCTATATCGAAACAGAGTCATTTAGTAAACATAACATCCTAGGGGGTATTGTACATAAAAACAGTGGAATCGGGGTAGCAGGAAGACGGAATCGCCAGTAGTGAGGGAAGTCTGTGTGCAGGACAAAAGGTGCTGGTAGATCGAACTTCTGATGAAGCGCTGGCAGACTACAAATAAAGAAAATTTGTGACAAATACGTGTGAACTGACTCAAATGAGAACAACAGAACATATGGGATAGTTTGGTTACTAAAAGGTAGACTAATTGTGTTTACGTGAGATACACATAGGTGATTAGTCCACAGGTATATATATGTATGAGCAACATATGCCATGAAGGTGGAAATGGCTCAGAGATGTTGCAAAGCTCACACATGTGATGATGAAGGAGCTCATTGCACATGAGACATGACATTGAGTCATGTGATCAAGGTGGAGAAGATCAAGATATGACTTGGCTTGATGGATCAGTTGCAAACGTGAAGGGCAAGTTGGAGGTTTTAGAGCGATGGACCGCGTGGCGGTGAAGTTTGAACAAGACTTGGCGCCTATGGACGAAGGCAATGGTGAAAAGCAAGTGAAGTCAAGATCAATGAACTAATATGATCACGTGATGATATGAAGTGGATCATATCATTGTTGATCGTGTTGGTGCATATGTTGCATCGACATTGGAGATGATGGAATGGAATGCGCAAGGCAAAGGTATAACCTAGGGCATTTTATTTTACCGGTCATAGGTGTGTAGAGAAGTTGATGGCCGGGTTTAGAATAGATGGCCGTACTATCAAGAGGGGCAAACTTATTTACATATCGGTCATCTAGTGCCACTCGAGTGATCTAACTTTGCATTAGGATCGAGTGGCGTGGCAAGTTAAGTGGCTAATCCTTTGAAAATGTTTGTGAAAAGCTAACACACATACACATGGTGGTGTTGGCATATTTACAAAGGAGAAGAAGTTGGAGTTGATGAGGATCAACTCGGTGAAGAAACGGAGGCGGAAGGTGTCACTATGAGTGACCGGACGCTGGCCTCGGCAGGACCGGCGCGTTCGGTTCGATTGATGGCGGCGAGAAGGCAGGCGTCGGTCTTCGACCGGACGTGAGCACTAACGTGAGCGCTGGCGGCGTGAGGTGCGAGGACCTGACGCTCGGCTACGTCCGGTCGCAAAACAGAGGCTCGGGGAGATCTATGGAAACGACCGGACTCAGGCGTAGCAGCGTCCGGTCATCCTCACTATACTGCGTCTGGTCATCACTTGACCATTGGCGCGCGGCAGCCGTTAAAATCAAGCGGCTGAGGTTGAACGGAGACAACGCGTGGCGTGCATCTGTTGACCGAACGCTGGACCGGGTGCGTCCGATCAAAGAAGTGCTAGAGCTATTTAGCCCGTGGGGCTATAAATAAACACTCCACGGCCACAAGTTGAGCACACTAGTGTGACTTGGTAGGTCACCACTATAGTGTTCATCCAATCGAGAGGACCTAATGCGATTGCATGGCAACCTTGTTCGAAGTTGCAAGAGCTTGTCTCAACGGGTGGTCTCGAAGCGCAAGAAGCTTGTGCAAGAAGAGCTTTGTGATGTGAACCATGAAGAGAACTCTAGTAAAATTACCTTGTCAACATTGTTCTTGTTCACGTGGATTTGCAATCACCACTAGCAAGAGGACCGTGGCAACTTTGGAGCTTGTCTCAACGGGGACGTAGCGTTTGTAATTAACTTTCAACATTGTTCTTTCCGTTGGTTTGCAATCCCCTTACACAGGCTTGTAATTACTTTCATATACATTGTGCTTGTGTAGTTGCTCTTGTAATTAGTTAGCTTGTGTAGCTCACTAGTTACCTTCTTGCTTGTGTAGCATAGAAGTAGCTCCCTTACGTGGCTAATTTGGTTTGTGTAACCTTGTTAGTCACATTGCTTAGTTTGTATAGCTAAGTATTTACGCTCTCTAATTTGGCATTGGTTGCCTTGTTATTGAGCATTGCTAGTGAGCTTATGTGGCTTTGTGCTTTTGCTTACTAGCATGTGTAGGAGCTCCCTCATTGCTTGAAGTAGTAGTGGTATATGTTTGTGTGCCATTGCTCCTAGAATTAGAAAGGTGAGCTCTAGCTAGCCCGACACCTTTGTTGTCTAATTAGGATCTTTATAAGGTACTTGTGAACTTCGATAGAGGGGTGTAGTCTTGGCTAGACCGATTGTTTTAATTCCACATTTGTTTCGGTTAACCGACGCGATTTAATTTAGAAAAGACTATTCACCCCCCTCTAGTCCGCTATCTCGACCTTTCAATTACCCTGATAGACTAGCTGCAATCAAGGTTGATCCATGGTACCTGTAAGAACAAAGAAGAAGAAAGGTTGTAATGTCATTCAAAATACTTCAAGATTTTGTTAAAATCAAACTAGAAAGCTTCATGACTAGAAAATATTAGCACTGAGCAGGGATGGAGCCAGAATTTGACCATAGGGGGGCATTTTGGTATACCAATGATAACCATATATGATAAAATATACGCACGCACATACATGTATGTATGTATATTGAGTTAACAAGAATATAAATAATAACCAAATTAATATTTGTTTTGCGATACAAAAGAAAGACTAACACAAAGAAGAGATGATAAATAAATACAACACCAATTAGTATTTTTTATTAGCTAATTAAGGGGTTATATAGTGGGGTGCTAGGGATTGGGGGTGTGTGGCCCCCCTTCCCTCCGTCCTTGGCACTGAGATAATACATGAATGCAGATGGATAATAATTACGGAGTACAATTTAATTATTGGACGGTCCTTTTTGTTGCTAGTTACAATACAACAAACACGAGAAGGTGCATGTTGTGACCCTATCATCTGGAGCTGATACATAAAGCAATTCTAGTGGCCTTCAAGTCAATATGGTATATTCTTCCCAAGTTACCAATCAATAAGTGATTGAATTGGAGCATCAAGTAAAGATAGACCAAGATTTGGAGTGATAAAAATATCTGCTGAAGACAGTAGACTAGAGAAAGGAAATGGGATCTCATGATTTTGAGCGAGCAATAAATTTCTTCTTGTCTGGCCTTCCCAGTGCATTGTTATAATACCACACTAGTTTAACCTGTTAAAGAAAGCATGTATGTCAGCCCATCTGGAAAAAAATACCATAGGAAGATCAGCGGGAATGGAGAAAATAAGCAGCAGTCATAAACAGGAATCAGTAATGTAGCACTTTTTAGCATGTACAGGTAATTGCTCAAAAGGATGAAACAGAAGCAGAGATGGAGCCAAAACTTAGGCAGGAGGGGTGCTAAGTACACTGCTGACAACAATATGATTAAAAACATGTTTGATTACATTTATAAATGAGTTGCATCAAACTACTAAAATAACATATTATTGAACATTTTGTGCTCTTGGGCCGGTGCTGCAGCTCCGGCAGCACTGGCCCAATCTCCGCCCCTGAACAGAAGTGTACACATCGTAGCCATCATATTGGTAATATTTCAGTAAAATAGAATATAAAGTCTAAATGGTTAAACTAGAATATAAAGTTATTTACAAAATATACATTGTTTCATATTATTTACACTCGAGAAGAGATTTTAGAGATAAAGGGCCACTGTTAAAATATTACTGGAAATAAACTCCAACAAATGATCAGTATTTTATTTTATCAATGATCATACCTGGGACTCATTTGCTTCTGAACCACTATTTGTGAAGAACACCTTTCCCATTTCCCTTGCAGTGAACATGCTGAGAATATCATTTGCAAGGTCCTGTAACGATATTGGCAAGGCAGTATTAACTATCAAGGCTTCCAAACTAGCAATTTATCAACATAATAAGAAAGCCATAGAGATGCAATGGTCCACATTAAGATCCCTTGTTTCTTTAATGGAAATGATGTGTAAGACAACTGAAAAGTTTGAAACAGAAAATCATCAACAAAAATACGCTATTCGGAGATGGACGATAATATGTCAAAAGTATATTACCAATGAGGGTTTGGTTGTACGGTTCCAAAAGGAATGGTAGAACGGTAATTTGTTTAACTGATCAGTTGCCGCTTTGACTAGTCGAGGCTCATTACCACCTGAAAACAATGTGAACAGTAGGGTACAACGCCGCCGGGTAGGCCGTAGGCGGGTACGGGACGCAGACGACGGCAAGGCGACGATCTAGGTATTTTTTCCTTGATCGTTTTTTAATCTAAATTAATTACTTCGGACTTCTAGTACTCGGTACTCATATAGTCGTGTTTTTCTTTTAATTTAGGTGTTAGAAACTTAGAATGTTACCTAAGAAACATTTGTTGGGGTCTCAAAAGAAAACGGAAAAGAGTAGAAGATCATTGTCGGGTTCACAAACCCGGGGTCCCTCAGGGACCGGCTTCCACGCCAGGGCTCGGCCCAAGAAAACAACATGTTGTTCATGGGCCGGCCCAAAGGTCTAAGGTCTAAGAATATGACGGGCCGGAAGGACAGTCCGGTCGCCGACCGGAAGGTCCGCCCGAAGGAACGCCCGCTCATCAACCTCTTGACCCACCTCCGACCGGAGCGCATGCCTCGGGCACCAGCCGCCTTCCGGGCGGCCTCTCTCAATCGAAAGACTGGCCCAAAACGTTGTTTCCTACTCCGACCCCGCGACTCTGACCGGGGACCCGTAGGAAACCTGCGTACCGCTCTTCTCCGACTGGCACGACCAGGGCCGACTGGAGCCATCCGACCGGGATGCCCGCTCGGAAGGGACCAAAGGCGAACGAAGAAGGCAGCGCACTAAGTCAAACCACGATATCGGGACCATACCATGTACGCCTGCGGAAACAGTACTCCACGACCGCCCTGACACAAGCAATATTGTAGACGCCGACATTTGTGTCTACAGTATTGTGGGCGCCGTTGGGCTCCCATACGGCAAAAGGGCCCCCATGCCTCTGGGCATCGATAGGGGGCGCCAGGATCCACCATACCTGGTACACGTGGTGGGGCTCCTCACATACCAACAGTATTTTGCAGGTACCGATGTCCACCTTCCTAAAGAAGCCACCGCAGCCTCCTACGTGCACCTAACATTCTACAGTAACATCAACAATGTTGTGGGCGCCTACCATTATCCACTCCTCATCGGCGTGGGCATCAAAACTTCGTAACATCCGTACTCTCTCCCTCTCACCTGTAAAGTCATCCCCTTCTTCTATAAAGGGATGCGCTCCCTCCAACGGGAGGACAATCTTCTTCAAGCTTAGATTCACTAGATCGATAACTCACAACCCCTCAAGCACACACTTGAACACCTAGCTCATAGCGGAGTTCCGGTCGCCCTCGGCCCTTCCGGTCGGACCCGACCGGGCCTCTCGTACACCCCTCATTTCTCCTTCTCGTTTGTAACCCCACTACATACTTCAAGCACCTGGGCTCAGGAATAAAGTTATCGACCGACCCAGACTGGACGTAGGATACGTTGCCTGAACCAGTATATATCCTGTGTCATTGAGTGTTAGGCCACCTCCGATCACAACGTACAGCAAAACTACAAATTTTCACTAGTTGGTCATTTTCTGTATCGACAATCATATTATTGAATCTTAAAAAGGTGCTCTACATAAGTTTTTTTTAGCTTCAAGCAGTGTTGTGCCTAATGATAATCCTATAGATGCACTTGATGAAGAACAAGGGTAGCAACAGCAACAAGTCAATGATAATTTAAGTGAACAAGTTGATGACATTGATGATGCTACAGAGAATGAAAATTTACAACCTTCCTCTCAACCTGAAAATTCAATTAATGATGTGCAAGAATCTTCTATTCATGATGTCTTTGATCCTAGAACTTGGAAAAATCTTGATAATAAGGGTAGAGATATATTGATTGAAAAGGGCGGTGAGATAATTGAATCTTGAGTTCCCTGCAGATGCTCTTAATAGACATGTCAGCGCTTAAGATTCTGGAATTTGTTATAGCTGTAAATTGCTATCCAAATGTTTCAGTTGCCTATCGAATCCTCTTAACTATATCTTGGACTGTAGCTTCAGCTGAAAGAAGTTTCTCAAAATTGAAGTTGTTGAAGAACTATTTGAGATCAACTATGTCACAAGAAAGGTTAAATGGATTGGCTATGTGCACCATCGAGAGGAATATCTTGGACACTATTATCTCAATACCGTCCTTGATGATTTTGCATCAAGAAACGCCCGAAGAACCATCTTTTTATGAGAAGCAATGGATATTAGTTTTAGTCTACATTGTTCCTCGATAATTATCAAACATGTTAAATTAAAAATATATCATTGAATTTGTTTTCGCTTTGTAAAAAAAATAGTGCTTATATATATTATAAGATTTATATATAGTCTAGAGGGGCCGTCGCAACGAGTTCATCAAAGGACCCTAAAATCTTAGGACCGGCACTGGTTAGGCCGTGGGTAGGGGCAGTTCAGCATGTATTTGGACCACGTTTTCTCTATCTTTAACATAAATTATGTGCAGTTCTTTTGTGTTTTTGAGAAAAAAAATTCACACAAACGCACCCGAGTAGGAGCCAATACCCACCACCATGCCCAAGTAACACTGTGAATATGTTACAGTTACCATGATGCAGTCTGTGGGCCACAGGTCACGGTCACATCAGTAATAAAAGATACTGCATCTTTAGTCTTTAGAGGTCTACAATTGACTTGTATTAGCTGATAATTTTGTTCATTATCTTTGCAGCAGAGTTTTATCAAGTGTGAGCAGTCAGTGAGTGTCAGTCAATTTCCACTGAAGTACAGTTCAGTCAATTCCAGGAGTATCTTTGTTCTATTTCTTTTGTTGAAAGTTTATCAACAGACAACACCTATACTATATATTTTTTACTTCACTACATTGCGAATCTGGGAATCAATCATATAGATTTCTCCAATTACACATCAAATCTGATACCAAAGTTTGCACATACCTAAAGCTGTACACCACAGTCCTGCAAGAGCATCAATAGACTTCTTCCCATTGATGTCATAAACGTAAGAACCCTACAAATGAGCCACAAGATGTAAGGCGCCACTGACAACCACTGCGATGTGACGAGAAACGAACATGCTATCCATTTTCAAAATCTTGCGCTGCATTGTAACAAGGAACCGAAAACTTGCACAATGCAAGAGTGCAAAACCTCTGATCTCTCTATAACCAATGGATGTAAATCAGTGCTCTGCCATCCTGCTGTGAATGGAGCAAATCATATCTGCACACACGTCACAACCTTAGCTCACAGTAAACTGTCAAAATCCTGCAGCTGGAAATTTTACACACCCATTTTCTTCTGTTGCCTGAAGTGAAGGTTGAGAACTGTAATATCTGGCAGGTGACTCTGAAAAAATGTGTCCCTCTTGCAAGTTTCCAGCACTAGCAATGTATTTCACCAGCCTGCTAACCTGCGTGACGGCGTGAGGAGAAAAAATTAGAGGAGATCAGATATAATAGATAAAAGGGGAATTTTGCTATGGGACACTGGGAAAACATGTAATTGGCCGGCACACACCGCCAAACCGAGAATTTGTCAAAAGACACCGCAAATTTGTAGTTCTTTTTCCAGACACACCGCACAGATTATTTTATTCATATCTCAGTTTTAGGGAGAGAGAATGTGGGAGAAATATCCCAACTACCCTCGTCTTCAACCTCTCGGACGCTTCTTTGATTATTTGTTGTAAACACACGCCGCCACCGATTTGGTCATTGGTCGGCCGGTGAGATCCCCACTTGCCGCTGGGTCCTCTTCCTCCGATCTACTCCTCCGATGCAGTGGCGCCTCCTCACTCGCCCTCACACTCCTCTCCTCTCGCCTCCCTCCCTCCCCTCTCTTGAGCGTGTTGTGCCAAAACCATGGTCACCGAGCCGCGGAGAGGTGGCGTGTCGATGCCAGCCTTGATGACGCCGGGCGCCCTCCTCAATCGCCTTTGCGCCCCTCCCTCCCTCCCCTCTGTTGGTGCGTGCGCCATGAGCGCCCATGGTCAAGCGGGAAGAGCTGTCGTTCACGCCACCGACCTCCGCAAGGAGGAGGCCGATAACGATGGTCTTTGGGCGATGGATCCGGTGGTGCCAAGGCGGCGTGGAAGGGGCCGCCGATCCGGGCCCTCGAGGCGCAACAGGACGCTGCCCATGCCCTCTCTAGGCCCAAAATTTCAGCTTGTCTGGTGACGCTCAGCTCCAATCATGGTGGTCGCAAGGTTGAAGACAAGGGCAAAGATGACATTTCTCCCACACTCTCTCCCTAAAACTGATATATGAATAAAATAATCGCCACAAATTTGCGGTGTCTTTTGACAAATTTTCGGTTTGGCGGTGTGTGCCGACCAATTACATGTTTTCCCAGTGTCCCATAGCAAAATTCCCCTAGATAAAAAGGACACACTAGCTGAAACAAAAACGATTTCCAGTGTTCTGAACTACTCGAGGTCGAGCGTCAAAACTGACCGAAAGGAAGTCATGATCTTGAACCAAGCAATTACAGTTTCAGTTCACGCAAGGAGGATATAACAATATGGAGAATGGAACTAGTTGCATCAACACAAAAGATTGAGTCCGCATAAGCTGCTCAACTCTGCTCTATCAGCTGCTCGGCTCGAAGAAAAAAAAAAAGCTACGGGGCTGAGAGTGTCGGTGGCGAGCCTTATCCTCACAATGCGAAATCAGCCTTTTAAGTTCGTTCACACCGGACACCGCTAGGCCTGAAAAACCAAAACATGGTTGAGGA